AAGTGTTAGTTTTCATTACAAAAGGCTCTGGAGAATAATCAGGGCGCCCTTATTTACATGTTGTAAAATACCTTCTACCTTTTTCTGTGTGTGTGTGGTACCGGGAATCAAACTCAGGAACTTGTACTTGAAAGGCAGGGGCAGTGCCACTGAGCTAAATCCCTGGCCCTTACATATTGTAAAATAGGAGTAATGGTATTATTACTTCACTGGTTGAAACTCACTCCTATATAACAAGAACTGTAATTTACCCATGTTATTGAACCCAAATCATCCTATATGATATATCTCACAAAGATAAGCAACATAGATCCAAAAGAATAGATTTGTCTCTTTTATTCTTAATTTGATTTTCTACATATTTTCTAATATAATATCCAGAAAATTTGTGTCTCATATGCATACTCAAAAGTAAGAGGCAGAAGCAAACTTTGCTTTCTTAATAGATCCTACTTGGGGTTTGAGGTGACCACAGAAGGTAATATGTCATTTAATAAGTGGTCTGTGGGAAATCTGGGGTTTTTTTCTTTTCAGATGTTGAGAAACCCAGGAATTGGAATCAACAGCAACCTAGAAATCCAGGAAGCTCTAGCCTGATGATTAGCAACTTAACAAACAACACTTTCCCATAAGCATGTTGTCCTTTCCAAGGGGGCAGTCACGCTCATATCCTACTCCTGCACTCAGTATTCAAAACCCTTCCAGAACTGTGCCTCCCAGACCTGGTTTCTGTCAAAGCTATTAACATGTGGTTGGGGGAAATGGTTACAGGGCTTCTGGTGTTGTCACCACTACAAACAAGGTTTTGTCCTTGTCTTTAGGCCATACAAAGGGCTGTGGTGTGTCACCTACAAATAGCATGCAAGGAAACCACAGAGATAAACAGTAGGGTCGAAAGTCTGAATTTTGTGACAGCCACAACCCCAGGAAAACTCATAAATCCATCTTTGGGCAATGCTTTGATTTACTTGACTTTGAAAAAAAATACTCAAGGGATTCCTAAGCAAAAACAAGGTGAACATGAGCCAAGAGCCCAAAAAGAAAGAATAAATCTCACTACATGCTGTGATTTCTGCTATCACTACAATGCCTGTGGAGTTTAAGAGAATAGATAAGAATTTTTCAGACATAACATCTTTTTTCAAATTTTTATTGGTTCTACAGATTAATGGATTTCCTTCTGGTAGGTTTGTACATACACGTAACATACTTTAATCATTCTCTCCCTCCCTATCAACTCGCCTTGCCCCACTCTCCCCCTTACTTTCACGTTTGAGGGGGAGTTCAATGTTTATTTTCTGCTCATATCTGTCCCCTCGATCACCTACCTTTGCTGCCCCTCCTCCTTGATTCCCTTCTTCATGTCTAATTATAGTCTCCCTTCTACTTTCTTGTCTCTTTTTTAGATTTTACATACCAAGGAAAACATTTTAATACAAAAATAGTCTTCCTTTGGCCCCAAAGCCTTCACACTAAACTGTATCACCAGCCCTTTTTCTATAATTTAGTTTGATGCAGTATCTTACTTAGTTGCTAAGTTTTCCCTGGCTGGACTCAAACTTGCAATCATCCTACCTTGGCCTCCTGGAAGCAGGTCAATGTTTTAAAGCACACAGCTTTAACATGTACCACCAGCTGAACATGTACCACTCCTGAAATTTATTGAACTAAAAATGTTTTTCTTCCTAATTATACCAAGGAAGTAAATTACAGTGAACAATTGGGTGGGGCAGGAGGAAAGTTAGGTGTTAAATCTGTACTTTTCTTGACTTTTCACAAATGGAAAAGTGGTAACAAACCACATATCTAGTAATATAGAGATCCTTTGTTTAAACCTACCATGTGTGTCTGTGTGTGTGTGTGTGTGTGTGTACAAACTAAGTGGATAAAGCAATTTAATAACCATGTAAATTAATACAGAGGGGGTGCTTCCCTGGAAGGAAAAGCTCCTCTCTATGAAGCATATGAAGGCCAGTGCTGCAGAGGGAAAAGAATTTACCAATAGTGAAGGAAAATAGAAAAGTTAAAGTTTATCGGTACCCTGGAAGAGCTGCAGGTGAGTTCAAAAGAGAAGCATGCCGACAGGGAGAAAGCAGGGACCTTTGTACTTGACTTTAATGTGAAGAGGGGATCTGGAAATGTCATCCCAGGGACACTCACCAGGTCACAGTGTTTCTACTGTCCATCCATCTTAGTTCTAAGGAGTGTCAGGTATCGTTGGAAGACAGGCATAATGTCTTTGTTTTACAGGGCACAGCTAGAAAGCCTTAGCAGAACTAGAAATAGTCTCTCCCAGTAAAACTGATTAACAAATATGTACAGAATGTTCTGACTCAGGTTAGCGGTCAAGGGGATCAGGCTAAAGTATATACAGTGCATATATGTTTGTACTTGAAAGGGAGTTTTCACAGCATACTGGGACTGGAAACGAAATAGTATTCTTTCAGATATGATGCCACGCACCTAGCACTGTATGCACAGCTTTTGTGCATAGTCAATGGACGGAAACGTTAATGTTATACTACAGGCTCACCTCACCGCTCAGTTTCTTCTAAGAAACAGTAGTAAAACAACCATAATTGCCCACACTTCCTTCACACATTACTATGGAAACATCACATTGAACACCTGCACCCTCTACCTAGCCCATTTCTCTTACAGGTGAAAACAAGCTGGACCCACGGGTGAAGAACACAGCCTGCTCATTCTGCTCAGCAAGGTCTCAAAACACCTGGTTCCAGAAAGCAGCCATTTGCTTCCTTCCAGCTCTTGTTAAGCAATTTGAGACTGAATGAGTGTCGTGCGCCATCTTGTGAGCAGGAGAGGTTATGCAATTTCCTTTCTTAAATGTAATTTTTAAAAATTGTATTAGTACATACGTGTTTGCAGTATATAATAATTATATTTATCATAGGGATTGGTACATGTATATAACACATCTTAACTGTTTTTACTTCCCCTTTCCTTCCTTCATGCTATTTCCTAAATGACAGATAGCCCTGGCACAAGCCAGGAAGGCAAGCAGCACTCAGGGATCCAGCCTCTGGTAGTTCCACGCACAATGTGTTTAGAAATGTGGGGTATGGAGGTCCTCTGTACTCTCTCCCAAGACCAGCCCTGGGCCATAGAAAGAAGCAACTGAAATGGGTCTTTACTCAACAAACCATGGCATTGCTGTAAAAGCAAAACGAAAAATTAGAAACTTGGTGCTGGTGAACCACTCACCTAATTCCACCAGGCCACACTGGCAAATAAAAAAGACAGACCAGGTGATCCATAAGAGTCCATCTGACTCTAACAATGTGAGTCCACCATCAGAAAAAAAAAGCCTTCTCTGATATTAACTTGCCTTCAGATTTCTGATCCTTTTGCACACTATCACTGAAGTTTCCTTGTGAAATACAGCCATACCATTGTCACTCCTATAACAGAGTACACAAAACTACTCAAAATTGGTCCATTTTCCTACTGCTTTTTGTCTACAGCTGTGTTCACTGGTTCACTCTAAAGAAATGTTTGCTATATGTTCCCCATTGTGTTCCCACATCAACACTATCAGAGCACTTGAAGCTATTTCCTGTCCCCTTAACATATCATGCCCTTGCCTATGTTGTTCCCATGCAAGGAATTCTCTTCCTTCATGGTCCTCTAGATTGACTAATCTTCGTCTCAGTGAAAATGTCATCCTTCCTGAAATTTCCCGGCTTCATTTTCTGTGTTTTCCTATCATTTCACACCTTGATCACAGTATTTAGTACCCTGCCTTAAAATTACATGTGTACATGAGTAATGAGCTGGTCTCTTGATACACTGAGAGGTGTGATTTTTCCTCCGAATTTCTCATCCTTCTCCTTCCCCCACTGTCCAGCTTGAGGGCCTTTTCCATGTATGGCCCAGGGGATGGAACTATTACTGCCAACATGACCAAAGAAAGGAAGATTCTTTGGACAGAATTGGACATCCAAATGGACTTTTGAAGCTCATAGAAATTTATGATAGCCACAAAAGTTTTTACATTTCCAGAGCCTGACCTTTTTAAATACAAAAGTCAGTGTTTATACCTTAAGCAGAAGATTCTAAAGTGAAACGAAATAAAGACTTTGCCTCCCCAGTCACTCTCATTCTCCTACCAACCAATGAAAGAATTAGAAATGTGAGCGAGGCTCCTGCCATCCGCCCATCCTCGAGCCAGGTCACAGATGGGAAGGGGAGCTTACATTCCACTTCCTCTCTGGAACCTGGAAGGTGGCAGCAATGCAGAACTGCCCTGAGCCAGCAACATGACAGCAGTAAAGGAGAAAATGTGGTGTGCTGGGTCTGAGCAAGGGAGGCAGAAGAGGACCTCTGAGCTTCCCAGAGAGGAATGAAGACTGAAATCTGGAAGCTGGTGTGCTCAAAAGAAGCCTACAGAGGAATGAAAGAAACACTACCAGTGACCCCCAAAGGACCCAGAAGTCATCACAGGAGGATGTAAAGTGACCACATGGCCCCAATGGCTGGGGTTTCAGAGATGGCAGCTGCTGACACTGGCCCTGTTGTGTATATTTCCTACTTTACTCCGTAGCTCCAGTGGAATGTAGCCAGGATTTGCTTTGTAAAAGAAAGTATCCAGAAGGTTCAAACATTAAAGTGTTACTTGGGAACCTGAGTTCTGTTTACACCATTTTCCTTAATTCTTCACATAACTAACACTCAGGTACCATTAACAATAAAGTAACTCTAACACCAGTGCTCCAATGAGGAAATACAAAATGCAAATGACAAGTATAAAGGATTTCAAGATCTTTAGGGCTGGGCTATAAGATCTTTTAGTACAAGCTGAGACTGGAAACAAGCACTTCAAACATTTTTCAGTTAATAATATTTTATTACATTATTATTGGATATATTAATTTTCTGCTAACTTTTATATAATTAATAGATCATAAATATATGGATAATTCCTTTTCAAATATAAATACCTACTACTTCAGACCAATATCGTTTTAGCAAATGCTTCCTATAGATGTTTTCGCCAGATCCTTGTCCCCTTTCTTACCATCCCACCCCAGCCTGCCCAGCCCCTTTCACATGCTCATGCATTATGATTATATTTTCTGTTTCCATTTCACCAACAGAGATCCCAGGGAATAGCACTAGATCACAAAGGTCATGATGATAAGGAGGTGGTCATCATATAACATGATGGGTATGGGCTCCTTCATGCTCCTCCATCCACTTTCAGCGTAGAAAACTGGAACGTGTCTGAAGCATCCTAGAAAAGTAATACTATACCTACTACAAAGCTTTGAAAATTCCACGCAGAGCTTATTAAAGAGTCTTAAGAAATGGAGAGAATGGGGAATCAGACAGGACTTGTTGCAGGGCACTGGATAAGAAATGGCACTGCTCCAGCTTCTCCAGCTGAGTTGATGTGCAGCTCTCAGGCCGCATGGTGAACGATGGGGGTGACACAGGTGCAGCCAACAGTCACCAGAATTTTCTCCAGCTGGAAGGAGTGAGCGCAGCCTTCGGGCTCCCTCCGGAGGACTAGGATCTCTTGCTGGATGGCAACAGAGTTCATGGAGCTGTCTTCCTGCCCCTGGGCATTGATACAGCCTGCATGTCTGCACCGGGCCTCTACGATCTCAGTGGGGAAGCGGTGGGGGTCCCGGGTGATGCTGCAGAGGGAGCAAGCCGAGGCAGAAGGGTGAGGCAGGGGAGGGAAGAACAGGGGTCACAGCCCTCCGGGCACTCTGGAGATACCAGGCAGCACAGGCACTGGGGCCACCCTCGGGAAGTTGCTTAACTCCCTGCCTTTCAGTTTGCTCAAATAGAAAATGCGTTCTCATATATCACTCTCATGGAACTGTTGAGAACGGTAATACAAATACCTATAAAATACCCCTCTAGACAACGTTAGCACCCAATTAATGTTAGGCCTTTTATGTTTATTTGCTTTATTGTGATAATTAGTCCTCATCCTTTACCTAAAGACTGAGCATCACCAGTAGGTCTTCCAATAAACAATCTATGAAGCCAGCCTCATGGAAAGGAAAACCAAGCTATCTGCCAATCTCACAGCTTCTCTTGACTACTCCCTCAACAGTCAACCCTGCATGGTGGCATAAAAGCATGGAAGCCGATTAGCTAGTTTGCCACTGTATAGACTCCTCTCATAGGAGAAGTTATGGAGCAACTCCAAAAGCATTCTTAATTGTCCCTAAATCAGTGCACTGATTGGTTTAGCATAGTTCTGGGTGTAAAGGATGAGAAGGCCCACCCTGGGTATGGGTGGCACCACCTAAAAGGCAGGTAGCCTGAAAGTGAAAAAAAAGGGATATAAAGTCCCACTGCTTTTGCTTTGCTGCTCCTGCTGCTGCTGCTTGCTCTTTGCTGCATTGTGCCTTCCTTGTCATCCTATGGACTGTTTCTCTTCTGTATGCCTCTCTGCCATGCTGACCTGCCTTAAAGCCATCCAACTATGGACTAAAACCTCTACAAATTGTAACCCAAATAACCCTTTCCTCCTTTAACTGGTGAGTGTCAGGTATTTTGTCAAAGCAGTGAGAAAATAACCAAGACAACGGTTAAGATAAATTAATATATTTTCAAAAGAATATGAAGATCTGTCATCCATACACTTACTTGTAATCCCACGGGGAGCTGGAGCGGTTCCGGAAGTCATGTGTGTTGGGAATGCCCTGCTTTTGATTAAGGATGCGAGTGTCAACCCTCACAGTGTTATCCTCCAGAGGAGGGCAGTTGCTAGGCTTTTGGAGGCCAGTATTGCCCACTCTGAGGGTTTTCCAAGCTGCCACATCCCTTAGGAGGACGATCCCCAGCATCAAAAGCAGTAAGGACTTGACCTGGAAAAGGAGAAGGTTTGTAGTTGCTTAGAGACACTGCTGTCCTGTGCTGCAAGACAATGCATGCTCTTATCATTCTGGGTCCTTTAATCAAACTAGGGCTTCACTCTAGACCTCAACTGGCAATAGGACCAGTCATACTATAGCAGGGTGCCCAGCTGAAAACTAACCTCATTAGCCTGGTGACTGAAGCCCTCTCTACTCTAAGATGCCTAAAGAGAGACAGATAGGTATCAAAGTCTGGGCCTGGGTTTAAATCTTGTCCTGGCTTCCCTGGTAAGCCCTTGATTTCTCTTCTTCCCAACTACCTAACTACACTTACTTCATAATAATTCTAAAAAGATTAAATGGAATGTTTAAGGTAAAGCACTCACAAATCTAACAAGAGTGGAGGATTAATGATATATTTTTGTTTTCATTCCAACCTCATGTCCCACAAATCCCCACAGAATCCTTCATCCCAATCATTCCTCCTCCTAGAGTCCCCCTGCCCCTCCTCTGTCTGTCAGATTCTACTCTTCCATCAAGGCCTACTCAGATGTGCTTCAATGAAAAATATGTTTACTACTTATCACTTGTGGCTTTCACCATTTATCACTCAAACAGCATTTTCATATTGCCTAGAAATGTAGAGTTTGTGTCCATGTTAGATTTACAGACAATGGCTTGTAAGTTCCTGCAGGACAAAGTGGACAGAAGGGGTTCTCCACAAGCACTTTCTGAATGAATGGATGAATGAATGCATAGAAGGATGCAATTAAATGAGCAATATAGTGCACAGTAGTTTAACTCAATGCCTCAAGAAAAACATTATGCAAACCCAACTATAACAAAGTCTCAATTATCCACGGTAATTGAAAGAAGCAGGGGCACTAATGTTGCACAACGGACAATATGGAATCTATTTCTCTTTAGCTTTGGAATGCGTATGTTTTATACTAACGTTGAAACACTAGTTTATCTGGTGTTACAGGAATGCACCAAGGAAGTGCTCTGTGAAGACCCGACCAAAAGAAGAGTTACAATCCTTGCCAGCTTCCCTTTGTCTCAAGCATTCTTTGCTCACTCTACCACCACCACTGACCCTTACTAGGGATGGCTGAAGCCCATTGTAATAAAGAACAGGAGCTGAAGCTGACTTGCTTTCATTCTCTGGGCTTGAAGTGGTTCAAGTTTGTGCTTCTCAGCTAGGGGTGATAATTATACATGCTGATAAGAAGGCCCTCCTTTTTTTTAATTTTGCAAATGCTGCGAGCAAAAAAAAATGTTAAGTACAAATAAAAAGGTCATGGTGTCAGCTTGCTGTACAGAGGTAGCTGACACTAAAAATAAGTTGAAAGCAAGGCCAACCGAGATAAGCTAAAATGAGGTTGATTTGCCTTCAGATAATCAACAGATATCTACATCCAGTACTTGACTGCAGTGTGGTAGCTAAAGGCTTGGTGCCTAGAGTCGAATGTCCAGGGTCTGCCGCTCACTTCTGGGACTTTTCCCAGGAGTGACTCAGTTTCCTCCATGAGAAAATGTGACGATTAAATGAGATGTGCACAAAAACACAAAGAGCCTTGCCAACCCATGATAAGCATTGCATATGGGTGGCAATCACTGACATTATACTAACACTACACAGTAGATAAGATTCATGTAACTCTGACTTGACAAAGTGCTATGAAGTTTCAAAAAAAAAAAAGGCAGCTTAAATTTGAAGATCACAAGATTGCTTCCCGTGCCTATCAATCACTTTCTTAGGTTTCTCAAGTAAATTCTTCCTTTGAGTTTTCTCTTTCCTCTTGTGCATCATGTTCACTAAACCACTTCTGATTTTCATTTTCAAGGTTTAAAAGTAACTGTGCCAGGCTGGGGATTTAGCTCAATGGTGCCACTGTCTTGTAAGTGCAAGGTCCTGAGTTCGATCCCTGATACCAAAAAAAAAAAAAGTAACTGTGTCTTCAGATCATGTGATTTAGTAAAAATTACCATGCTTCTACCAAGTCATTATTATTTTCACTTACATATTCTTCGAGTATTTTAGAAAACACTTTCACAACTCTTTAAACACCGTATTCTAACAACTGCTTTGTGAAGTACACAAATTTAATCTCACCTATCCACATTAGGTGAAGGACTTGTCTCAGAGGCAAAAAGCACCTTGACTGGGCTCACCAACAGCCTATGGCATTCTGGAGATGGACATCTAACCTATGTGTCAGCAGCCAGTGCTATTGCCACTGAATGTCATTAGTTATTATCAACATTAATCTTAGCTTTTCCCAGTGGAGGAGCCAAGAATTTTACACAGTGTGAGGGCTCTATCAGAATTGCACTAGTGTAGTGTTGTAGGTAACATGGTCCTTTGTCAGAAAGCCCAGTGCTGTCTGCGAGTCACTCTGTTGTGTCCATGGAGCTCTATTTGTTATGCAGTTCAGAGCAGGGAATCTGATAAGGATGCCTCTGCTTCTTCCAAGAGAAATTCAGAGCACTGTGTAGGCTTGGATTTCATATGCCACTTATAAAACAGGTAATCAGATAGTCCTCTCATCCTGAAGAATAGGAAGTGGAGGAGAAGCAGCAGCTGCAGGTGGGCTGGAACAGGACACAAATCCTTCTACGCTAGCTTTGTACCTCACTCCAACCGAGCCCCACTGAGAAACACCTGAACATTTGCATCTCTGCTCAACAAAAGTTTGTGCTCTCCTCGTATAGGAATAAGCTACAGTGCTTGGCCAGCCCCTAGGTTCATGAAAATCTGCCTTAACTACTTACTGAAGATGCCCTATCAATAGCATTGCCCAACTTCTGATCCTACTCCAATGCCCCTTGCACTGTCATGTTCCTTGTTGTCAACCCAACAGATTTCTCCAGAGAAACAAGAAATATAAATGGGTTCGGAGCACAGCAGTTTTACTTGAAATGTTTTAAATTCAGAAGTCTTGCTTCTGAATCATTCAAAGAGAAGCATACTATGCTTGGAGCCAGAACATCAAGATTCCTATCTTAATTATTTGGTTTACAGTATCCAGTGATGTTTAATAATCACTTAATTGAGCTCCTCTTCCTCTGTGTAGAAGAAAAAGTAATCTCTACTTCAGTGGGTTGATCAGTTTCAGAGGTAATAACAATGAGATTCATAATTAACACTTACTGAATGCTCTCTTTATCTGTACCTGTTACTGTATATTATAATAGCCAAGTTAAGTAAAAGCTAAGCATGCACAGGTTTTCCATAATAGATTTGCTTATTCTCAGTCATATCAATTAATCCCAAAATGGAGAAGCAATAGTTTTTTAACTGTACATTTGAGGAAAATGAAAAACAGAGAGGGTAACTAATCCAAAATTCCATGTGTCGAGCATGGGAACCAGGTTCGTCTGACTCCAAAGCCTATGCCCGTAAATACTGCACCTTGACACCTTCCCTGTAATCTCTAAAATAATATATAAACACAAAACCAAAGTGTTATTGTTGTCATATGCCATGAACCTTACATGAGATCCAAGGTCTTTTAAATTGTATAGCTTGTAAAAGGAGCAAAAAGACGGATTACATAGGCAAATAAAGTGATGTGTGATTTCCTAAGCCTTGTTTTCATACACTTCTATATTAAATTCTTCCCAAGATGTATATGACTAAGGTTAGGCAAGAGCCCATACCCAAGGAGAAAAGGGTAGATTCCCATCACACTAGCACCCGTCTTGACTCTAAAAAGAAGATGGTGGCTAGCAGAGATATGGGAAATTCCCTTTATCTAGGAGCTGTCCAAAAGCTCACCACTGGGTGGTTGTACGTCTACCATCTAGGGAAGGCAGCAGTCTTGGGAGTGTCATTAAACCCCCTGATGGCCCAGCTTTCTTGGGTAATATATGTACATGTACACAACCCCTCAAGGGCCACCATAAAAATAAGAGTTCATGGCCATCTGGCTCCATGTTTGGCCACCGGAAAGACCATCCGTGCCTCCCATCTGTGATAGCAAAGATTGCACATGCTACCACCACCTGGGCAGCAAACATCAGGCTAGGAACTACTTTTTGAACCCCATTATAACATTTTTGGTCATTTTTCTTATTCTCTATAAGCAAGAGTCAAAATTAAAAGTCAGCTTTTTTTTTTCTTTAAATAAATACTTTTAAAGATTCCAATGAAACCCACCTGCTTTTGTGAAATCCTAGGCATAATTACCCTTAAGGTAGAATTGTTATCACTACTCACCATGGTTGGGTTGTGCAGGCTTTTCATTGCTACTTCCCTCTGGTGCATGCTCTGTGCAAGAAGGTCGTTCTGAGTATGGCTTCCTGGGTATGCCTCTGTGTGTCAATGAGAATACCTGTTGGTTTTATAGCAATCAGTGCCCCTGTTTCAATTGACCTGTTTACTGTCTTTAAGTTGTGGTTGGCCCAGCGTCACTGACGAATGCAGTTTTTTTTTTTCTATTCCACTTCCTGAAGGGGAACCAAAGAGGGACCCTAAAAGAGGATGACAGAAAAAGGATCAAATCTTCCTGTTCTTCTACCCTACTTCTACCCCAATTACCCTCATGACTATGAAATTCTTAACTGACTACAGAGATGAACAAAGGGATGAATTACTGTCATGATGTTTAGGCTCTTTCACGAATTGCCTTCACCCTTGTCACGCACTGTATGTTCTACTTTCCAGTCATGCAACATGAACCATGATTTAAACAGGAGATAAGTCATTCTCACCAAGACTCAATATTAAACAAGAGGACTGTCTTTAATTCCATTTTATGGATGGGATAACAAAACCCAAAAAGAGCAAAACATCATTGAGAGATTCACAGATTATATCCCCAGGTGGTTTTGTGATCTCCCTGAACTAATTTTCTTTAACCCTGTGATTAGATCCCAACTAGTGCTTTGTAGTCATTATTCATATAATGGCTATTTACCCTGGCTAGCCCTGCTTAAGGATCTTTTTTTTTTTCACTAAAATGAATTATCACACAGAAGTCTTTAAATGCTCTTACTTGTGATTTGTGAATTTTTGAATGATTCTTTCCTTTTTCATATTAATTTGAAGTCAACACTTATTAAGTACATGCTCTATACAGATGTTATACCTTAGGGATATACAGATATTTTTTAAAAATGACTTTCTAAATCTCTGTTAGGACCAGGTAAAATTACAGATGCTCTAATTTAAAACGCAGACCATTCCAGCAACATGGTTATTTTCCTCTACTATAATATGCCTGAACAACTGCCTTCCACTTCCTCTAAGAAAAAGACGAAATTGTCCTTGGGTTCCTTGGAAGGAACTCCAAAACTGATCAAAATTCTGTGGTCCACATTGCTTCTTTCATGCCTGTGGAGTCTGTGCAGACTTTGCCTCTGAAACAATCAGAAGTTTAACTGCTAAGACAACTTTCTCAAGTCATCTCCTCAGGCATTGTTCCTTCCTCATTACAACTGATTTCGTATTTATCTATCTTGTACTAACTTAGCTGTTTAAAGGTGATTCTTCTGATGCTTCATCGATTTGGGGTAACTTGAACCCCTCATCCATAATCTCTACAGCCTCTTTCTCTAAATATATATCCCCAAATATACAATCTAAATGTAAACAATGTATTTTCTTTTTTTAAAACCATATATTTTCTATGCAAACAGATTCAAGATTAGTCTGCTTGCCAACACTTTCTAGCCAGACTGAAATCCCCAAGACCACCTTATAGAGAACTTTAAGGTCTCATCAGATATGACCTTCCGTGTACACAGTGAAGCTAGCTTCATGAAATCACAAAGCACGCTTTTAGCTTACAGCTTCACTTGTGTCACTCAGGCTACAAAAGCAAACTACGAAATAGACCTTTAATTTGGACTGCATTGAGACGGTTGAGATGCTCACTCTCTCCAGTGATCTGTGCCTTTCAGAGCCATCCTTTGATGCGTGGAGGAGTACACCAGCTATCTCAAAACAAGGAACAAGTAAATCACATGAACTGAGACTACTTTATTGAATGTGAGAAATTGATGGGTTGCAAAGGAAACAAAATAGCTTCTTGTGTAAGAAGGGAGCAACACTGACCTTTACAATAAGTCTTCACAAAGTTTCTCCTCTTGGGGCAAAAATAACTATTTTATCAGGACACCAAACTAAACAGAATCAACAATCAACATATCCAGATCATTAGGTCATCTAATATTTATTACTTCTTATAATGTAATCATGTGATAGCACTGGGGATATAATAATGAAGATATGATGCTCATACAGCTGAGTGTGGGGACAGTTTACAGACTGGCCTCGTAATCCCCCTGGATGACACTGTCACCAGCTTTGAATGTGAGAGTTGTCATTCGGCTGTCCAACACTTCCAAGAGCCTGCAGAACAAGACACTGGAAAACTCTGTAATTCTAGATATTATTTGCAAACAGATTTGTAGATGGTAAAATATTACAGCTGGTCAAACACTCAGATTTGTAAGTTTTTTGTTTGTTATTTGTTGACTGTGTTGGGGCTCGAACCCAGGGCCTTGTACAAGCTTAGGAAAGAGCTCTGCCAGTGAGTTACATCCCCAGTTGTTTTTCTGTTTTATTTTGAGACAGGATCTCACTGAATTTCCTAGGCTGGCCTCACATTTGCTATCATCCTTCCTCAGAGTCCTGAGTAGTTAGGGTTACAGGTATAAGAAGCAAGCTTTTTTTTTAATGCCTCGTGATGCACTCAGAGCTATGCAATTGAAAATTATGATGAATGTTAAATTTTTTAATTTATTTCACATTGCATTAATAGCCCTCACTTTGAACACAAAATATTCCCCCTCACTTTGTTTTTTTTTTCTTTTTATTGAGTTTATTGGTACATTTTAGGTGTATAGTACAGTTACATTCATTATTGGGATTTTGTACCTTACATGACAGGTCTTGGTTCTCATTTTTTCCCCTTGTCCCTGCCCTCCCTTCACCGTCCTCCCCTTACATTCATTATTGGGATTTTGTACCTTACATGACAGGTCTTGGTTCTCATTTTTTCCCCTTGTCCCTGCCCTCCCTTCACCCCGTCCTCCCCTCCCTATTTACAAACACTTTATTTCCATTTTTTCATTTTCTCATTTAGCTCAGTGGTTCCACCGCCTGCTTCCCCCTCACTTTAAATACAAACTGTCATTCTTGCCACTTTCTGAAGCATTTATAGAAGCCCTTTTTTGTGTCTTTAGCTGCAACATGTGACTGCCTCAATGTCTTATATCAAATCAAAACATTTACTTTCAGCCGAGCGTGGTGGCGCACGCCTGTAATCCCAGCACTTGGGAGGCTGAGGCAGGAGGATCACTGTGAGTTCGAGACCAGCCTGGGCTACCCAGTGAGTTCCAGGTCAGTCTCAACTACATAGTGAGCCCCTATCTCAAAAAAAAAAAAAAATTGTACTTTCATGGTCATTTTGACTTTGTGGAAGAGTCAGAAGTCACACAATGCCAGTTCCAGTGAGTATGAGTTATGAGGACGCTAACGCTTTTACAAGCCTGTCTTTCCAATGGGTGGCACTCAGAAGCTACATTCACCATATTTTTTTCATTAATTTTATTGGTACATTTTAGGTATACAATACGGTGTCATTCATCATTGGAAATTTGTGCCTTTACATAATATATTTTGGTTCATGTTTTTCCCCATTCCCTGCCCTCCCTTCAACCCCTCCACCCCTATTTACAAAGACTTTGTCTCCTTTTTTTTTTTTGCTTTCCTCATATTTGTTCCTATTTTTGACACTCAAGAAAGAGGAGAACAGTAGGATAAGCCTGTTTGAAGCAAGGAGGAGTATTTTGAGGGCAAAATATGTGGCAAAATTATTGTCTACACAATAAACCTTAAGAAGCAGATCTCGAACCTAATAAACTTGTAGCTCTAGAGAAAGAAACTGGGAAAAACAGAATATTAGCTGCATGTATTAGATACTATTTTCTGCTTTTGACAGAGAACACAAGAAAGACATGAGCTCAAGAATGAGTTGACAGGTTTCCTAACAAAACAGAAAGAGAATTTTTAAAATCCAAAAATCTAGCACCCTGAAAGATGAAAGAAACAACTGTTTCTATCCGCCAAAGTAAAAGGCAAAATTGTAAAGCTTTTGAGAGATAAATACCTACTAAAACTTTTCAACCAAATAAATGTTCTAAGGGTAAGAATCAAAATGAAGCATGAAGTAAGTCCTTTTAATTGGATAAAAGGACTCAGAACAAAATGTAGTTTAAATGTGGAACATAATTCTAGTAATCTCTCATTAAATCAAGAGATGAATGAAGAGTTATAGAAATGAAAGAGCAAAGAAATACAGCTGTTCTGGGAATTGTGCCTTAAAAAATGTTTGACTAAGATAAGAAGTTTTCAAAGTTTTTGAGAGAGCTCCCAAAAGTAATCAGGAACCAATCTTCAGCCCCCAGTCACTGAGGAGCAGGAACTAAAGCCCAAGAAAGGTTTATTAACTGACACCTTTTCATATGTGACCAAAGAGGTTACTAGGAGGGGAAAAAGAATTTAAACTTCCAAGGAAGTAGATCCAGAGTCACAAAAAACAGAACCAGGGTGCAATCAAAGGACATTCAACCCGTCTGGCTATGAGGCTTCCACAATCCAGCTGAGCAGGATTTCAGAGCTAATGCAAACCAAAACTCCTCTGCACCTCCCATTCTTTCTGTTTCCAAGGTGAAGTACTTAATGTTATTTCCCTACTTCCACGCTACCCACCCAGACCTTATGTAATGAACTGTTTGTTGTATACCGCCTGGAAACCCTGCATTTGACAGAGATGCTCTAATTGGAGGGAATATTTGGGTCTTCCTTGGCGAGGGTGTAAAGATGTTTCATACACAAGCACTGAGAGCCAAATATACGGTGAAAAGAAAGTTGAACAACAGTAGGCATTAATATGAGCACCAAAATGCTGTTTTGCTGTACCTCCAGCAACAAAGTATAATACTTTTTATGCTTCCTTACTATGCAGCTTGCTTTGGCCAATAAAATATGAATGAAAGTGAAGTGAGTCACTTCCAAGCAGATGGTAAAATCCATATATGATCATTCACCACTTTTCCTGCCTTTGGGACTATGGAATTACGTGGGGAAATTATAGCATGGTAAGAGGGTAGCACCTCCATCTCTCAGCATCTCTGATTGAGCTCACTGAGCCCTCTCCCTGTTGACAGTGAGGCCTGGCATTGGGCCTGGCAGCAAGGATGGGAAATGAACCTCCAGTCTTGTTAATCCCTGGCACTAGGAGATTATTTGTTTCTGTTGCATATCTGAATCTAAACTGACTGGTGTAAACATTAAAGAAGTCTGCAAGATTTTCTCTTTCTTTGTACTTTTCATCCGGCTCTGATCTCTCATTAAAATGGTTAACAGTGTTATTATATACTAGGTTTAAAGGGTATTCTAAAGAATTAAATTCAAGGGTGGGGACAAGGGGAAAAAATGAGAACCAAGACCTGGCATGTAAAGG